CCTTGTGTGTCTCTTGGTTTTCAGAGATCCCCTTGTACTTTGTGGACTTGCAGGATGACTTAGACGATTGTAAGTAACAGTTGGGGCGCCCCCGCCCCACCCTGGGGCCCTCTCACAGGATTCGGGGTGCAGGGACCGTGTCGGGGGGTGGTTACGGACCAGGCTCTCCATGCTGGGTCTAGAACAGCGAGATGCCCAACTGCCGGGATCCCCTTGAGGTGCTTCCTCATAGGTGGGGTCTGGGCTGAGGCGGGGGTGCTCCCCCCAGCGCCCCACCTTGCGGAAGGGCTTTGGTTCTTGTTGGAGTTTTGATTTCCCGTCACTCTCTTTCTCTTCCTCCTCGTCCCCCTCCGGCTGCCCCTGGGAGGGACGGGTTGGGGCCAGTCCCAAGTCCCGCATGTGCCTGGGTGTGGGGCGCAGCCACCTGAGGGTACTGGCCTCCTTCGCCCCCGGGTCTTCTCGCAGTGCCCAGAGTTTGAGTCCTTTGGGAGGTCCGGCTCTGTGTGGCCAGCCACAAAGTTGCAGACCTCTCAAGTGTCCTGGCCACGAGCCCAGCTGCACCTCTGGTCCAGGAACTCATTGGCACCCGCATTTCGCAGGTCCCCCCCTGCCCGCTTTGCTTCTTAGGCCCTTGAATGGCTGATGTTATCCTGGAGATGCCTGTTCCCACTTGTGTTGGGTGAAGTGTTTCCTCCAGTCCCAGTCAGGCTGTAAGAGCGACCCAGGAAGAATCCCTGTGCTCAGGGAGCTCCCAGGCTGGGGTGCCACTTGTGGAGGGCAGGGGGGCCCTACTTGTAAACAGAAAATGACCAAATCCTGGGGCTTCCTGTCACCAAGCACCTACTTCCTTTCTTGGTCCAGCTCCCCTCTCAAGTTTCCTCCTTCTGAGAGCTGACGTTAAGAGCTCAGCATAGGTCAGGCACAATGGTAAGCCCTTCACACTCTTTAGAGGGGGCTGCTGTCTCCATACCCAGTGGAGCCCTCATGGCACAGTGGGTTAACTGTTGGGCTGTTAACCAGCAGGTCAGCAGTTCAAACCCACCAGCCCCTCTCAGGGAGAAAGATGAAGCAGGTAGCTCTCTTAAAGAGGAAGTTGTAGTCTCGGAAACCCCATGTTCTGCTCTGTGCTGTATGGTTGCCGTGTGTCAGAATGGACTGGATGGCAGTGAGTTTGATTTTGGCTGACCCTGGAAGAGGTGATATTGTTGCGACTCGATGGTGTGGAGTTGGTTCTAACTCATACTGACTCGATGTACAACAGAAAACAACACTGCCCGGATGGGCACCACCCTCAGAATCATGGTCATCTTAGAGCCCATTCTTGTAGCCACTATGTCACTCCATCTCATTGAGGGGCCTCCTATTTTCTGCTGACTCTGCTTGACCAAGCATGATGTCCTTCTCCATGGACCAGCCCCTTCTGATAACGTCCATCTCTGCTTCCAAGGAGCATTCTGGCTCTACTTCTTCCAAGACAGATATGCTTGTTCTGCTGCTAATGAAGAGCATGGGCTTGGATTCAGAGTACTAGGGGCAAAGTCTTGTGCCGCTATTGACTGGCTGTATGTTTCTGGACAAGTTGCTATACTACTCTGAGCCTCAGCTGTCAAATGGCCACGATGCTGGCTCATCACAAAAGACTTTTGGAGGCTTAAAGGAATAAAGGTTTTAAGACCAAGACTCGTATAAAATAAATATTTTTTGGCTGCTGCTATTAATTAAATGCTGCCATAGTTATTAATGTGAACATTTATTGAACCCTGAAGGAGCCCTAGCGGAGCACTGGTTAAACCTTCGACTGAGAGGGCAGCTGTTGGAACCCACCAGCTGCTCTGTGGGAGAAAGACAGCGGTCTGCTTCCTTAGTTGGCATTAGGTCCACTGAGTCTGTCCCTGTGTACGACAGAATGAAACACAGCCTGTGCCATCCTCACATCATTACCATGTTGGAACCCGCTGTGTGTAGCAGCCCGGGGTCATCCCATCTCATTAAGAGTCTTCCTCTGTTGTGCCGATCCCCTTCTTCCCAAGCATGATGTCCTTCCCCAGGGAATGGTCCCTCTGGGAGCAGTTCTACTCTGTCCTGTAGGGTTGCTATGAGTCAAAACTGATTGCCATCCATGAGCTGGCTTTTGTTGAGCCAGGAACGATGTTGGCCCTGTTTACAGAGCCAGGTGACACAGCCAGTGGCCACCCTTGAAAATGAAGGAATGCCACTTTTCCGTCGCTAAACAATGGTGAGCAGCTGTTGGCTTAATATCTGGTCAGTTTGGGGCTGTTTCACAGGAGCCCCGTTGCGGTTGGTTATACATTGGACTGCAGTACACAAAAGTCAGCAGTTCAGAACCACCAGCCGCTTCACAGGAGACAGATGGGGCTGTCTACCCCATAAAAAGTCTCAGAAACTCATGGGCTGTGCCCTGTGGAACCGCTGTGAGTGGGCACGGACTGGGTGGCAGTGAGTGGTTGGGGCTGATTCAGATCTCTGACAAACCACCAGAAAGTACAGCCGCTTAAAATCACTTAAACAAGTAGGTTATTTCTTAGCATTCTGTGGGTCGACCTGGTGGTGCGTCTGCCCCAGGAGTGTTAACTGGGGCTCTGGGCAGACCAGATGGGCTGCAGGGCTTCACTCGCTGCGCTGGGTTGTTGGCTTTGGTTCTCCTGGTGCCTTGATTGTCAACCTGGTGGCTAGGCGGTCTCCTTACAGCATGGCAACCATACGGTCCTCAGATCTCGCTCCTGGTTCAGGTGTATGTGTGAGCAAAAGAAAGCAGCGAGTATGTAAGGACATAGGAACCAATATTGTGTGTTTGCGTTGTTTTGGGGTGGTTAGATGCAGTTGAGTGGGTGCAGACTCATATGTACAATCAAACAAAACACTGCCCAGCCCTGCACCATCCTTACAACTCTTTCTAGCTTTGAGCCTGGGGTTTCAAATTCTGTGCCAGTCCATCTCGTTGAGCATCTGCCTCTCTTTCCATGAGTCTCTACCGTACCCAGCATGATGCCCTCCGAGGAATTGGTCCTACCTGAAGTCCTGTCCACAGTATATGAGATGAACCGTCTCACAGCTTCTTTGTAAGGAGCGTTCTGCCAACGCAGATGGGTTTGTTCTTCGGGCAGTCTGAGGTACTTTCACGATTCTTTGTCAACCCAGACTTGCCCCCCAAAGGAAGGAGCCTACTGGGATGGCTCTAACCTTGGATAGGCCAACTCTGGAAGCCTGGGATTTCCTGTAGGGGTGGAAATGGGGGTGCAGGGGCTGGAGGAAGGCCCGCGTCATCTGGCTACAATATAGTTGTGCCAGTAGCCAGCTGCCCTGGGTCTCACCCTTGCAGACCAGTTATACTGCCGTCCTGTCTGACTCACAGCACTCACAGAGGGCAGATCAGAGCTGCGCAAGGCCTCTCCAAAGCCAGTCACAGGCCTCCGTGGCGTCCGGCCCTTCAGCCTTCCTACGTGGTATTTGTGGGGCATTTCCCATGACTGACAGCAAGAGCCCTGGAATCCCGGCATTCGCGGTCTGCTCTCCCCCTCTCCTCGCTGTGTTAGACTGGGGGAGCTCACTGGGCCACTCGACAGTTCCTTCACCTGGACAGGTCAGAATCCCAGGTGCCGCCTCATGGCTGGTGTGAGGCCTAGGCGAGCTGGCACCTGTGAAAACCTTAGCCCGGGGCCTGGCATAGTGCTTTGTCCAATGGCTTGATCCTTATCATTGTTGGGAGGCTGGTGGAGGTGGTGGTGATGAGAATGCACACAGCTGGACATATACCAATTTTCCAGTTCTACGGGCACACGGACAACTTTCTTCCGTGTTGTGCCACCCGTCTCTCCTTCTCTGAGTCATCCCTCCTCCTCTGAGTCATCCCTCCCTGTGAACATAAGCTCACAGCCCCAAGCTTCCTGTCAAAACTTTCGAGTGACTCCTGTCACTGAGCCCATGGAGAGGCCGTGAGGTGCCATCGGTTCCAACCCAATGTGCCCCTTTGCGCAACAGAACAGAACACTGCCCGCTCCTGCATCACCCTCACAATGGTTCCGGTGCCCGAGCACAGCGTTGCAGCCGCTGTGTCCGTCTGTCCTGTTGAAGGCCTTCCTCTTGTTCGCCACCCTCCACATGGAGATAGATGTTTAACAAGCAGTGCTGATGGCAGGCCTTCTGACTAGGTAAACTAAGATTATCATTTGGTTTTATAAGTAGATTTCAGGGGCGTTTTTGGTTTCTGGCTTACAGGTGACCTGAGGGCAATAGTTTTGGGGGTTCTTCGCGGTTGCTGGGTTTTTGTGTGAGATCTTCTGATTCCCTGTTAACAACTGCTATTCTGTGAGGGATTATTCCAACTTCACAAATGAGAATACGGAGGCTCAGAGAGGTTAAGCAACTTCTCTGGTGTAGCACAGTGCTGGAAGAACAGAATTAGCCCTGAAAAGCCGGGCCCTTTTGGGTCTTGGCCTTTTTGTTGCACCTGACAGATTGGCCTCACTAGCACTCCTAGGCCAGTGGTAGAGCCTGGTTGTCAGCGTGGGTGACCCTGTGCCTGCCCGCCCTTGCTGGTGATTTTGTCAAAACAGCAGAGGTGACCACCTGAGAGTGCGCGTCCCTTTGGTCAGGGGTGCCAGCTCCTTATCACCCAGGGCTCTGCATGATCTAGGTGTTCAATTAACACGGGTTACTGTTAGCATAATGGATCACACGGCTTGTCTGATTTACTTTGCGATTCCTGATTAGATTTGGCTGACTTCAAAAAGCAGCCATAATGAATGGGTGCGCCGTTTTTTAAATCATCCAGAGTCTTGGGGCCATTGCAGCATAGAGGAGATTTAATTTGAGGGAATTGGCTGGTTGCAGCCTTCTGAATTCCTTCTCTGAGAGGGGAGTGTCTGGGTGCTGTGGTGCTGGGCCGCACCTGGAAGGTGGAGGCAGGTGGCCTCTGGTGGTGTTGGTTTAGAGCAGGTGGAGGCCCTAAAACCGTGCCTCCCGAAGCTGGTGATACCGCCCTCTGAGGGGTGCTGGAACGATCCAGTGGGCCTGAGAGAGCAGATACCTACACTTTACCCTGGACTGTGGGCTCCAGGAGAAACATTTTTAATCGCCAAAGGGGTCCTGAGCCTTTTTTTTTTTCTTTCTGAAAAGGAAGGCAGCAGGCCATGTTTGAGTCTGGGAATCTCTGCCCTAGAAGGAACGTGGTGGCGCATCGGGTTGGCAATGGCTGCTGACTGGAAGTCGGCAGCTCAGCCCAGCAGGTGCTTGGGAGAGAGAGGTGGGGCAGTTGCTTTGCCTTGGAAACCCACCCAGGCCAGTTCTGCTCTGCCCTAGAGGCTCACCATGAGTGGGAATTGATTGGCCAGCAGGCGGTTGATTGGGCTGGGAGTCCCTAGAGCAGTGGTTCTCAACCT